ACGAAAGGACAAGCTTTTTGTATTTTAAGATTTGTAAATTAAGATAAAGGCCGAGTCATCAACGTTGTTTACCCGGCCAAAACCAAGTAACCTAAAGATAAAACATGAATAAAGATTAATGAACATTTACAGTGTTTTTGTCACGAAAAACAATTAGCCTTTTCGCAAAAGAGATCACAGTGCATTCTGGGATCCTTTGGAGGGACAAAATATATGGTGACAGGCGTCAAATATGTGAAGAGTAGAAGTATCTACTATCAAATACAGGGATGGATTTACTGGGGGGGTGCGGGGGGGTGCACACCCCCCCCTAGCCCTGGCCAGGAGGGGTGCAGGGGGGGTGCTATTTTTCATGATAAAGCAAAAAATTATCAGAGACAAAATGAGATTCAGTAATTTGAGTAATAACATGATGATAAGCGAACTGTGAACAAGAATTACAATTCAAATACTGTAGCTAGACTTTGCAGTGGTTAAGCAAGTTGATGGATGTGTAAAGTCACTGGAAAGCAATTGCAACGTACTCGTCCGGAAAAAAATTTTCCCTAAAAAGTTGTCGATGGGGGGGAGGTTGTTGCTTTCCGAAAAAAATTTTTGGCGGAGCACCCCCCCTAAAAGACCATGCTGGATCCATCCCTGTTACTTGTTGCTAAATTCAAATAACAAATCACAATCTTAAACATCGAAATATTGGAAATGTAGTTGATGTACAGTAAAATGAACTTTAAAACTTAAAACTAGCCTGTTTATTGTCAGTATTTCTGGGCCTGGCTATATAATCTACAGAGGTTGAACAGTATAGCACTATCCACTGGATAGTGATTTATAAATTAAAGTTTTTGTTTGGATATATGTCCATAGTTTCACAACTTTTCTGACATTTTTATTAAGGTCGAAAAAATCACTTATCAACTGGATAAAGCTGCCCATCCTTCATACAGACTTGAACCTGAATAATCACTGAAACTGCTTTTAAATAGAAGATCTCTGTTAAAAATAAGCTGAAATAGTTTGTTGGATATTTTACTCAGTCACAATAAGTTCATCAATGCCCCAGTCTTCATGACTTCCATCTGGCATGTACCGACGAATAATGATTGGTATCTTCTGTGCTTTTAATTCTTTCATAGCAATTTGCAATGGATCTGTTTCACCCTCAAGCTCTACCATGACTGGTGCTCCCATACTTATCTGTAAGGCTCTCGTACCAAGAACTCTAGCCCTTTCATATTTTGTCATGTAGGGTGTGGTAACCCGTTTTGCTGATTCTGTACCCTCTTCCCCTTCTGGTAAGATTTCAAATCCACCACCATCATCAACAGGCTATACAAAGTCATGAAATTAAGTTTGAGAGTGCAGGTAATTTTGGCAATATCTAATTTATTAAAGAGCTGTTTTATCCAAAGTCCTGACCCTGCAGAGTTGCCAGGGGTTCATTGTGGGCACCTGATGTTGACAAATATTAAACCTGGCATCCGGTGCTATAATCTCTTAAGTAATAAAACCATAATATTCACCCTAACCCCCGCATCGAACACCCGATCAAGCACATGAATCAGAAATGTTACTTCCCATCCAGTGTGGAAACTGGAAAGTTTGTATCGTGCAAACCGAGATATCTCGGGCATGCAATTTTGATGTTTTCTATATTAGCCAGTCGGGCATATTCAATATTAGTATATATTATTTATGTTTATGCTGTTGCATGCATTTGTTGTATATTAATGTACATCACTGTCTGGATCAATGGGGTGGCCCGAGCGAAATTAAAGCCACATGCATTTATATTAAAGTGATTAAACATGTTCTGATGTTCAAGTTCAATACTTCAATTTAAAATACCTCTAAATCGTCGACATCTTCCAGTGGTTCCTCATCATCATATTGCTCAACATCATCATCAAACCTGAGTGAAATACATTTCTTGTTAGAAATACAGAAAATACATGAAAATATATATTTTTCACCTTACAATTACTAACCCATCAACTCCTTCGTCGTCGGCCATCTTGCAAGGTTCATTCGGAAGGCAAGAATTCCTTGGGAAAAGCTCGGAAATTCCTCACCAACTTTTCTGATCACCCTCGCAGTCGCTCTTTGCGTTGCTTTTTTTTAACTTTAAAGTCATCTACAAGTCTACAACAGATATAAAATCGAAAAGTGTGCACTTTACAAAATATCGTATTCATATACTAAGGAGAGCATTGCATCGTTGATTCATTTATACTGAATTTACTGGCAATAGGTTTAATGGTAGAGAATATTCCTGTTTTTAAGGATAAATCCTTTGTTCCTGGTTACTCGGAATGTTTCGGGCTTTTGTCGGAACATAGTTAATAGTCGGAACTACGAAAGATAGCCGAAAGGCATTACAGTAAACAAGATGGCGGCAGATTTGACATACGAAGGTTGCAATTTTTATCGTCAAAGATTGGTTCTTTCTACCTTAAGTGGAAAATCAGTGAGGATAAAGAATATCAGGTCATTTGATGATGATCCTGGTCTCAAAGGTATGGTAGTTTTATAACATGCGCGCTTCTGTGCATGATGCGACTACATGATTATACGTCTGATTGGTCTGAACAGTGAACAAATTATTAATAGAACAAACTTGCGAATTTAACGATGCGACTCATGCGAGGGAAGGCCTATCGTAAGTGAAAGTATACGCTGGAAACGTCGACGCTTGTATTCTTCGCTAGCTACCGAAAAGTAGACAGACATTTTTGAAAATTTACCAGATTATGACCCCCCCCCCCGCCCCGGCCCCCCTCTTTGTAATTTTTGGTGTATGTAAGGGGCGGACCATTAGAACGATGATGGGGGGGGGGGGAACAAAAATAAAAATCGAGCAGAGGAAACAGAAAGCAAAGACTTTTCAATAAGGAAAATTATAATTTCAAATAAAAAAAATTGTGCAAGGGATTATATTTAAAAAAATTATCGACACCAGCA